TGGGGGGCATGTGCCCCCCCCAACTAAGATGACACCAGTCACCCATGCTCTACAGGTTAGATCCTAGCAGCAAACTTCTCTCCAGCTGCTTCACTGTATCTTCTGACTCAGTTCCTAATTATCAGATCTCTTAACTAATTACTGCCCTGCTTCCTACACACTGAGTATTTTTTTCTTTTAAAATCCAACATATCAGATTGAACAACTGACAATTGGCCAACTGCAAGGCTCCTAGATCTTAAGAGGGCAGCCTGCCTTGCTGCAAACCTAAAGATTACCAGGTTCTGAAAATTTGGCCTTGCACAAATAAGGTCAAAACTGGAAGGTCTCGATTTTTCAGCAGATCTTAGAAATTAAGAGTAGCTTATTTTCAAATAATACATCTTTCTCTAATTTTTGGTTTAAGCAAAACATGATACAATGTCGCATATACCAGACATTTTAATTTTTAATTTTATAATTTTAGATACTTCTTATATTTTACAGACATAAAAAAAACAGTTAAGATGTATTAAGTAATGATTATATGGTAGGATCCATGAGAATTTTTTTATTGAATATGAAGAACCTTTTCTGGTCCTACATTTCCATTTTCTGTATATTGCAGTTGGCTATATATTGCTAACCATGCTTGGGCTAATAAGAACTGACATCAGTTTTGATTCTAAACTGGCCACTGTCTAGACTGAAACAATGAAAAGAATTTACCTCATCAATCCCTTACTGGAAGATTCTGGACAGAAGCAGCTAGGAATGGCTAAATTGTTATTGAATTAATCTGTTCCTTGTCCCTTTAGGCATACAAGATTCAGTTTAGTTTAAATCATTTTTAAAGCGGAAACATTTTTATATAGTTTAAGTCTATATTTGATCAAAGAACCATTTGCATATCTCTGAAATAACAGAAATCAAATTCCTCTAGCTTTAAAGTTACTGTTGTGGTTTTGCTATCTATCACTTTTTAAAAACAAAATTCTGTATCTACAGTCAAGTACTCAGTTGCAAAAGCTAAATTCACTATTTTGAAATCAATGTTCTTTCTTCTGTCTAAATGACTGCCAAATGTGCTACCCCTTCCAAAATATTATGTCTCTAAGATGCTTACATTTAAGTAGTGCTAACATTTTCTCACATTGTGATAAATAGAAAGATATAGGCTCTGTTTGAGACAACAAACAAATAACACCCTAGGCAAGGTGCAATTGAAGAGCATGGAACATAAAAGCAAAGCAACCCCACAAACAAACAAAACACACACACGTGCGCGCCAGATATGTAGTCTTAAATTTATTAAGAGAAGAGGAAAAGGCTGTATACTTTACTTTGCAAACCTGATATCAAGATGGTTGGCAGAACAGTTTTTTGGTAAAGTTTCTCAAATAACTCAGTGTAGCTAGGATAGTCTCAGCTTCAAGAAAGCACCCTTTTTTTTCCTAGAGCAATTAAAAAAATTATGGTTTGTCCAAGAAAACCCCCCCTACATTTCAGCTATACAACATCAAGCAATTCCACAGTCAGCACCATAACACATCTCATTTATCTGCCCCCCCCAACAGAAATTACATAGCTGCATTAGTGCACTTATGTGCCTGTTTGTAGGAGTAGATGTTCTTGTTGAAATGCTTATAAATTTTGGTTGCTTTATTCATTGAGGTTCAATGAAAGGAGAGGAATGGTAGGAAGGACTGTAGGATTAGTGGCAGGGATTGTGTAGATGGAAACCAGAAGAAGCAGTAATAGGGAGGGAGGGTAGAATAGGGTCAGAAGCTTAATGCAGACAGTGTAAGGCAGAGCATCTAAAGGGTTACAGCAAGAATTAATGATCAAAATTAGAACTAACAAATGAGAATTGAAAAATTGAATTTAAGTTTCAGAAGTGACTAAATGTATATACAGGAATCCATGAAGTCTCCTGCCACAGAGTGGTAGGTAGAACTGAGACCTTTTGAGCCTGTTGGAGGGAAGTATGGAAGCATGATACCCATTATGAAAT